GTTGGACCTACCTTTCGTTGATCCTGGCCATATTCATTCTGACTACATCTAGCCAGAGATGTAGTTTCGACCTCTATCAGAGAGTAATGAAGGAGAAAAATTCCTTCCGTTGCCGGCTAATTATTATCGCCGGTGCATGAGCGTAATTCTACGCTCGTTTACGGTCGTGAGACATTACGACAGTTTATCATGTATCGTTTTAATATAACTTTATTTTAATTAATGTAATGCCAAATTATCAATCAAAATTAATTGATTGAAATTCTTATATAAAAAAGACTATTTTCTTTAATACTAAAAACATTTATCGGATTTATGTAAGTCTTTTTTTTCATTTTTTCTTGTTTAATTCATTTAAATAATAAGACTGAATTAATGCACGTACGCGATTTTTAATAACTAATATGAAAATAATAAATATTCACCCTTGGGTTGCTCCGCCGGTGCAGGATGCCTCTCCTAGGCCTCCTCCTCCTCTCAGGATGTTAGGTCGCTACGTTGATCTGTAACATACAAATAAAAGATCCAAATTGTAGCAGCGCTCAAAATAATTAAAATTTCAAAAAATTTATTGTATGTATTGAATTTTATATTCGATGCATATAATAATAAGCAAATTAATAAAATAGTTTTATAAATTTTGAAATAAGAAAATATACTACTAAATTCCATATAAAAATTATAATCTAAAAGTAAAAATTTTTACAAGATTATAGCATTCATATAACAATTTTTTTTTCTAATTCTCTCTTCTTTAAATCATATTAAAAAAAAAATCAAATTACGCAATTAATTGCTTAATTTAAATTGCACGTACACAATTAATAAATAATTAATATACAAATAACAATTTACTTACCACTGAGTTGCTCCACCGGTGCCCGATGCTTCTCTTAGGCCTCCTCCTCCTCTCAGGTTGATTCACACGCGCGATACTTTAGACAGCACTCCCGCACTTTTATTAAAAGATATTACTTCCGCACTTGTACGCGCGGTACTTTGAACGACACTCCCGCACTTTCGAATTTCGGCACGATCGAACCCCGCTTCACGTGAGAATCATACTTCGAGTCGACAAGTCGGGAATTCACCGATTACTTCGAGC